ATTGTCACATTTATCCAGGGATCTGTCTAGGAATAATTTTTCAGGCCCTGTTCCAGCTTCTGTTGGTGATCTTGAGCACCTTCTCACCTTGTAAGTTTACTTCACTAAGTACTTGCTATATAGGTTCATTGTTTGTGGCACCTGACTTTTGATTTGTTTACTCGCAGAAATTTGAGTGATAATCATCTCGATGGTTCTTTGCCAGCAGAATTTGGGAACCTTAGGAGTGTTCAAATTATGTAAGTTTCTATTAGGACTATTTGTAATTAGGACTTTTATTGATATCTTTGCCCTCCTGATATGTTCGTACCTTAATGAATGTCTTACAGTGATATGTCTTATAACAATCTTTCTGGAAGTATCCCAGCAGAATTGGGTCAGTTGCAGAACCTTGCGGCATTGTAAGCTCTTTTCCCGCTTTATCACGTCATGTCCCAATTTTCATGCTTCACATATTTTGTCATATTAATTCTATTTTGTGCCATATTATGGTAGGATACTTAATAACAACAACTTGCATGGAAAGATACCTGATCAGCTAACCAATTGTTTCAGTCTTGCCACCTTGTGAGTTCTGTTTCTTGAATCTTTCCCATTTTCATTCTTGTATTTCCTAAACCCTTCTTGAATGCTGTTTCATCACAATTTCAGGAATTTCTCGTACAACAATTTATCTGGTGTTATACCTCCCATGAGGAACTTTTCACGTTTTTCACCAGACAGGTTCGTGGGGGAAAAGATGTGGTTAATTCCTTTTTTAAATATTTGCTTGTGGTAAAAATGTTTTGTGTTTCAGCTTTATTGGAAACCCATTGTTGTGTGGCGACTGGTTGGGATCAATATGCAGACCTGGTGCTGCAAAATCTAGGGGTAAATTTTAACTATTTTCCGTTATTTTGTGCTAATGGAATCTAAGGCATGTCACGATCATCTAGGTTTCATCCGAATTTAACAAATTATCCTTTTGACTTCTACTCTCAGCTATATTCTCCAGAACAGCAGTTGTTTGTATGACATTGGGCTTCATCACAGTATTATCCATGGTGGTAGTTGCGGTTTACAAATCCAACCAAGCAAAGCAGTTAGTCATGGGATCTAGCAAGAGTGGGCAAGGCATGTAAACCCTTCGTATTTTTAAAGTAACAATCCCGTTTGTATTTTCATTCCTCCAACCTAATTAACATTTGATTTTCTTTCCAGGTCCTCCTACACTTGTAATCCTTCACATGGATATGGCCATACACACCTTTGATGATATAATGAGAATTACTGAGAATCTCAATGAGAAGTATATTATAGGGTATGGTGCTTCTAGCACAGTGTACAAGTGTGTACTGAAGAATTCCCGACCAATGGCAATTAAGCGAATCTACAATCGGTATCCAGACAACATGCGGGAGTTTGAGACTGAACTTGAAACCATTGGCAGTATCAAGCATAGAAATCTTGTTAGCTTGCATGGGTATTCACTGTCGCCACATGGAAATCTCCTCTTCTACGACTATATGGAGAACGGATCTCTGTGGGATCTGCTTCATGGTTAGCCTTGCTTCACTGTACTTGTTGCTTATTTCTGACAGAAGGAATATTTTTTAAGTTTATTTAAGGTTATATCGTCATGTGATATCTCCAAGCACAATTTGAGTCTAGAATATGCTGTGAGATTAATTGTCAATTGCTGATTCTTTTGCCAACGTTCGTGACAGGACCAGCAAAGAAGGTTAAACTTGATTGGGAAACAAGGTTGAAAATAGCTGTTGGAGCTGCACAGGGACTTGCTTATCTTCACCATGATTGTAACCACCGAATTATTCACAGGGATGTTAAATCTTCTAACATCTTGCTGGATGAGAATTTTGTGGCTCATCTCTCTGATTTTGGAATTGCAAAAAGCATCCCAGCTGCAAAGACCCACGCATCAACTTATGTTCTTGGAACAATTGGCTACATTGATCCCGAATATGCTCGAACTTCTCGGCTCACTGAAAAATCTGATGTGTATAGCTTTGGGGTTGTGCTTCTTGAGCTACTAACTGGGAAAAAGGCTGTGGACAAGGAATCCAACTTGCATCAATTGGTACGTTTGTGATTCATGTTTGTTCTATTTAGGTGGCAATGTTACTATACTAACATTGAGGTATGTTTGTCTCAGATATTGTCGAAGGCGGATACAAATACAGTAATGGAGACTGTTGACCCAGAGGTCTCTGTTACTTGCATGGATTTATCTCATGTCAGGAAGACCTTCCAACTTGCTCTGCTGTGCCTCAAGCGAAACCCTATTGAGAGACCAACCATGCATGAGGTTGCACGGGTTTTAGTCTCCCTCCTTCCTGCACCTCCCACAAAACATTGTTCTGTTTCAAAGGGCATTGACTATGCTAAATTTGCGGTTGACAAGGGACAACAGCAACCGAAATTGCAGCAGCAGCAACAACCGCAACAGCAACAGCAGCATCCTGTTCAGGAAGAGAGTAATTCATCTGATGCTCAGTGGTTTGAACGGTTTGGTGAAGTTATATCTAAGAACACACTTTGAAGTTTCTTGTCCCTTATGTTTTGCAACGCTTTGAAGGTGGGATAAGGATAGTCCCAATTTTGGTTCAGATGGGTTTGAGTGCCTTGCTCTAGCAGATGAATTCAATATATATGTCCTAACGAGACAGCTTTTGGAAGTTGCAACTGTCGCATAGATCTTTTGTAACGATGTCGTATAAGAAGACTGAAAAATTGTAATTTTATGATGACTTATTTTGTTGATATGCTCATGATCAGACAAGGGAAAAGAAAAGAAAACCCTGATGTCAGATTGTGTTCCGGTGTACCTACTGGTTGGTTAATTATTTCACTGTCATGAAAGTATCCACAAAGATTTGGTTGAATGTCTGAAGCCATTTGATTTCTGAAAATGGGTTTCACGAGAATTTATTGTCGGTCAGATCATTCAGTCTTGAGCTGAAAAGAACATCCAAATTAATTTTTACACAAAGGACGGGTTTTTCAATGTCACAGGTAAAGTCTATTTCTTGGTTTCAGCACCAGAACCAAAAGATAAGCGGGCCCCTTTTTCTCTCGAAAATGAACAAAAAATATTTCTTTTCATGAACTGGGAATTTAAGACATTCAATTCTATTTTTCCCTTTTTTCTTTCATATTTTCTTAACAAAGTGAACCTGTAGGTACATGCTCGTAACGTTCACAACATAACAGCAGAAAATAGAATACCCAACCTCAAATCATGCCAAAATGATGCTTCTTTGACCGCATGTGCCATCATCAACAATTTGATGGTCTATGAGCGGTGTGTAGAAAGAAGCATTCAATTAAGTCAGATATATGATTTTGATATATCTAAAACTTGGCTAGTCTTTTGCTTCTTCAGAAAATTCAATGAGCCAGAAACTATTCTCGATTAGGAACATTGTGAAAGGCTGATGTTGTACCTCAGAGTTGTCGATGAAAGGAGCTTGGTCTGTTTTCTTTTTGGTTTTACAGACGGAGATTTCGAAGAGGTTAAAACCTTAGCAGGCAAAGGCACTTTTGGACTGAGGTTTTGCATTGTTCTGGGCTTCAGATGCAAGGGAGAGCTGGCAATCATGTCAAGATAGACCGTGAAGAGAGAGAGTTAAACATAGACTTCTCAATTTTCACATTTATACAATTATATCCAAAGACATTTAGATCAGATAGTACCTTACTAAATAAATCTGTTGGTGGCTCCTTCAGAAACCTCTTGTCAATTGCAAACTTGAATTCCTAAGGAACAGTTAAAGCATGGTTTTAAAACTTAGTTCAAAACAAGGTTTCTCTTTTGTTTTTGAATTTTGCTGATATGCGTAAAGACTTTGTCAATGAGAAGCTTAATTCAAAGCCTGTAATGTAAATGCATACACAGATTTAGATTACCTTCTTTTTAATAGAGCAAGCTGTGCATTTGTAAGCCGTTCCACTTTTCTCTTGTGTTAAGG